CTAATTTACTTATGTATTTATGGGTGGCGACAGGGTGGACCAGCAGCTGCACTCCATTTTCCGCAAATTAAGATTTTAAGATTTTTAAAGAAACAGTGAGCAGGTATGTGCGTACATACAGCTTTATACATCTGAATGTTTTTGTGCGCCGCACTTTTCTAAATTTGTCCATACGCTAAGTTTTAGTGTGAAAACTGCTCACTCTTTTATACATGAGGCTCCTGGAGTCTGCCTGAATGGAGAAACCTTTTAGGCAGACTATCAAGGCATTCTAGCAGAGTTACAGAGAAAAGTTTTACTTTTCACTGACACCCTTTGACCTTTTAAGCTTTGTTTTTTCTTTGGGCACTTTTGACGTTCATGTAATAGGTTTTATTTTCACATGCTAATGGCACAAATTGTTAAAGACTTTAATAGCAGAATTCTGTCAGCCTTGGTATTATATCTCTGCTGTTTTTTTCTTTTTTTTTTTTTTAAATAACCGTTTTCCATGTTGTAATTCTTAGAGACCTCCCCATTTCAGAGGACCTTTTGCTCCACACCAGCAGCCTCCCCCATTTAACCAGCTCCCACCACCCCCTCACAATTTTGGAAGATTCCCACCTCGCTTTGTGCAGGAAGACTTTACTCCCAGACATCACTATGACAGAACGCCTTACACCTCACATCGCTTTGACTATCCTCAGGGTGGAGAATATCCTGGAGGTCAGTGACAGTAATTCTACCTCTCTTGTTCTATATCTTTATAATTATGTTGATTAATTTCAAAATAAACTCTGTTCGGCAGATATGCCTGGTCCTCCACTTCACCACCACCCCACCCAACGAATGCCTCCACCAGCTATAGGAGCCGATCATCCTCCGTGGGGTACGGGCCAACACCCAGACTTTGGCGCACCTCAACATGGGTTCAATGGCCACTCCCCTCACATGCGCCATCGACAGCATCCCGTTCAAGATGACCCAAGTCTGGTTCCAAACGTACCCTATTTTGACCTGCCAGCAGGTCTCATGGCTCCATTGGTCAAGGTACGTTAGTTGATTCTAAATTTGGGACAGTGGTAGGGTAGTAGTAGGGGAGTTTCGATGCCATATTTTTCTGGACAGAGTACAAGTACTTCAGTTTAAGACGCCAATATCGATACCGATATCGACACCAAGTAAACAGATTGGTACTTATATTTCATACAATAACTTTTGAAAACAAAATAATTTTATTTAAAACATGGTGACTCTTGTTTTTAAGACTACAGTCCCTTTGACTGTTTTAACAAAAAAATAGAGCAATACATATAATTTAGCTTTCAAATTCCCTGAGGGACTAATAAAGTTCATTCATTCAATCACTGTATAAAATTACTCATAAAAAGTACAACTTTTTTGCTAAAATTTAGATGTGTAACCTGATCCGAAATTCAGTCCGACCCAAATTGTTTGGCCTGATGTTCGGGTCAGGCTTCAGTGTCACATTTAAATTAGCTTGCAATACATACACAGAGAATGCACAGTCAACTTGTATTAATCTACTTATTATAGTTTAAATAGAGGAGTAGGTAGCTTACCCTGTTGAGGTTCAGGTGTCTGTAACAAAAGCAGTGTGAACAACTGCATTTAATGTTAATTTATTGATTAACAATAAATGCACATCCGCTCCACTTGTCAGAGTATCATCTCTGATCTGTATGCTATCTGAGAGCAAATAGTGGCGTGTTGAGGAATTATGGACCAGAGGCTTTGGAGCATGTCTAGCACTTCTGATCCACTGCAGCAGTACTTCTTAAATAGTGGATCGCGCCCCCCATGGGGGCGTGGTAAGGGGTTCGGAGAAGCAGGATTTAATAATTGTCTTTATTCATTACTTAACTGATAAACAAGCCTCCTGCTACTAGGTGGCCGCTGTGTTCAAATCAATCAACAAACTGCCTGTTCAAGCAAGTAGAAATAGCCTATGCAGCACTGTTGTGAGCAGAGCTGGGGATACAATCGCAGATGTTTTGAAATATATCTATTGTCATACAGAGAGATGGAGAATTTTATAGTGAAAAGAAAAAGGCGACAGAGGTCAGTAAAGCAAATGTGATGGAGTTTTATGACCAGGCTAGGGGATTTTTTTCAGATACAAGAATAAAGTCATAATATTATGAGAACTAAGTCATATTAGCAGAATAGTTTTAATATCAACAGAATAAAGACGCAATATTGCCAGAAGAAAGTCGTTAAATTATGAGCAAAAAGTAATTTTAAGAAGAAAAAAAAGCTTCATTAGAATGATTTGTGGTGTGACCAGCTCTTTTTATTTCTTTGAAATAAAACGTTCTTTAAACAGTCATTTCAAAGTCCTGCAGGTGATAATTTGATTCTGATGTGTTAAAAGATTAAGTATTTCCTTATAGCAATTATAACTTTCCCAGACCCTCATTATTCTTCATTTTAGTGCAGTGTGGTGAACAGTCATCAGAAAATTACGACTTTATTCTCATATAACATTACTCGTATTAAAAACACAAACCAAAAAACTTAGACTGGCCTTACTCTATCTTATGATAGAGTAAGGCCAGTCTAAGTTTTATAGCAGATAGCTGTACCTCACAGAAAAAGACTAGGAAATAGATTATATTTTTACTGTTAATGCTAAATGTTATGCACTTTTCATCTCATGACTGCTCATATATCATGTGAAATATAAGCAGTATTGCTGCAAATTTTTCACAATAAAAGTAAAAAAAACTGAACACCTTGTGAAAAACGATAAGCTGAAGAAGCTGACTAGTACCAATTGAAAAGTAAAACTTTAAAAAAATATTTTACTGTGTTAAGTCTAAAAACACTCATCCCAGTGAAACACTTACACATTTTCTCTTTCAGACTTAGTAGTCTTGATTACTGAACTTGGTAATTGTTTTCAGATTCAGACCAATAAAAGATCTGTTTTGATAATCAGGTCATATAATGCTGGAGCCACTGGTTTGTACAGAAAATATGATTAAATATCAGATCAGTGGTGGGAAGTACAATTTTAATGTATCTGTACTTTACTTAAGTAGATTTAATAATGGATACTTTCTACTTTTACTTCACTACATTTTACA